TAACATCCAATGCCAATCCTCTCCTTTTTTCTTGAGGAAGACTGGCCCTGGGCTAACATCCATCCCATCCTCCTCTACTTTATATGGGACGCCGCCACAGCATGGCCTCGCAAGCGGTGCGTTGGTGTGCGCCCGGGATCCGAACCTGCGAACCCCGGGCCACCGCAGGGGAGCTCGCCCACCTAACCGCTGCGCCACCGGGCTGGCCCCAGAATGCTTCTTAATATTAGTTTTTATCTTGGAAAGGTATCTGGGAAATTTGGGAGGAATGCAGTTTCCTCTGAGGGAAAAGATAGATGCCAATACAGAGCACAGCAAAATTTTAATGAAATAGTGTAGGCCAAGATCATTCTGTGAAAATGAAAAATTCTAGCTTAATCTAAATGTTAAAAAAAAGATGAAAAGATGTTCTTTGCTTATTTATTGAGGAGTTAATATTGACTGTCCAGAAAGAAATCTTTTCCATCTTCCCATTGCTTTTAACTTTGGAGGGTGGGTCAGAGTATTGCTGATACTGTAAAGCTTGAGATTTGAAGGATGATTTAACTGGTGGGACACTTTTGAGGCACTGAGGTTTTTTTTTTAAAAATATTTTTCTATTTATTTATTTATCTATTCATTCATTCATTTACTGCTTGCTTGCTTGCTTGCTTGCTTGCTCACTCGCTTAGGAAGATTTGCCCTGAGCTAACATCTGTTGCCAATCTTCTTGTTTTTGCTTGAGGAAGGTTAGCTCTGAGCTAACATCTGTGCCAGTCTTCCTCTGTTTTGTATGTGGGTCGCCGCCACAGCGTGGCTGCCGATGAGTGGTGTAGGTCTGTCCCCCAGAACCAAACCCAGGCCGCTGAAGCAGAGCAGGCTGAACTTAACCATTAGGCCACGGGGCCGGCCCCAAGGGCATTGAGCTTTTGCTGTTATAGAGGCATCAGGCACATGGGGATTTGGCTTGTCATAGTCATTATCATTCCGTAAAACTGTTTAAGCTTGCCTGAGTTTCATTGTGTCCAAGGCTCCCTAGTATTAAGTGATAATATGTATTTGTTTCTACAGGTGGTTCTTCCTGCCCTCTCTCCTACCATGACCATGGGCACAGTTCAGAGATGGGAAAAAAAAGTGGGTGAGAAGCTAAATGAAGGAGACTTACTGGCAGAGATAGAGACTGACAAGGCCACTATAGGTGAGATTTCTTCAGCTCTTAATGGTTGAGGCACTGAATTTTCCAATGAGGGAAAAGGCTTGCCTTCTTATCCTATAATGAGTGAGTGATAACATGAAAAATTTTAATTCTTGCAATTCATTTCCTGGAACAGGATGTTTCATAACAAAAGTGTGTAGTCAGATTTGTCAGTTCCATACTGCACTCTCGTTGAATCAAGGATATGTCAACTTTGAGATTATTTTTAGGCCAGAGTTTGCTTCTTAGCCTTATTACTGAGAAGCTATATGAGAACTGCCATTCTTTAAACTGGACAAGGGAAAAAAGGAGGAAGCAGGAGAAAATAACTTCCAAGGCAGAAAATACTAAAGAATTTAAGATGACTGAAGGATAATTGAAACCAGGGTTTAGGTTGTTTTCATAGTTTGAGAATGACTGATAGAATGTATATATCCTGTTCAGATATCATATCACATTTCCATATGTTCCTTTTCTGATTTGTTTTTATGCTCAGAACAAAACCCACAGAGAAAATCATATATTTGTGATAATATTTATAGATAAATAATCTTTCTTTCCTGTCCAGTCCCCAGAGATGCAGTGGGAGCTTCTGGGCATCCCCTGCAGTGGTTCTTTTCAGACCGTGTTTTTCAAACCCCCTGATTCCTTGATGACACCTTGGGCCAAAGGAGAACTCAACAAGCAGGACTCTACTGTGCCCTGCCCCCATCCCCCACTTCCACCAGAGCAACTCCTTTTTATCTTTTTGCATATTGTGCTTCCCCCCATAGGATTTTATTAGAAGAAAGGATTCTGTTTATTAAAGAGAAAAACAAAAAACCTTGGTAACAATAGATCTGCTTTGCATTTTAGTTTGAATACTAATATTGCTGCAGAGACTGGTATTCTAAAGACTAGTCACTAGAGAAATATTATCTTGGTCAAACTCTTTAAACTCTATTATGGCCTTGGAGCCTTTTCTTTTCTCTTTTTTTTTTTTTGTGAGGAAGATCAGCCCTGTGCTAACATCTGCCAATCCTCCTCTTTTTTTTTGCTAAGGAAGACTGGCCCTGGGCTAACATCTGTGCCCATCTTCCTCTACTTTATATGGGATGCCACCCAGCATGGCTTGCCAAGCAGTGCGTCATTGCGCGCCCGGGATCCGAACCAGCGAACCCCAGGTAGCCGCAGCGGATTGCGTGCACTTAACCGCTTGCGCCACCGGGCCAGCCCCAGAGTCTTTTCTTTTTAAACATATCTTTTATTGGATATTAATTCTCAACTGGGAAATGGAAGGGTTCGTCAAAGATGTGTCCATCAGGGAGAGGCACAACACCACAGAAAGCCAAGATCTGGAAGGCGAAAGTTGTCCTCTGCAATGGCTTCTTTTAGTTATATTTTTGCAACCCTTCATGTTTGAATTCCTTGTAAGAAAAGCAGTAGCTAAATAAAATGTAAGTTGTCAACACCATGGAAACCCTAGTAATACTATAGATCTTCACACTGAAACATTTGGTGTAATACCAATATAACCTCTTTGCAAAGCTCCAGAGATGCTTTTGGGGTATAATCCCTCATCACTGTCAAGCCTAGTAGCTCCCTTAATTTAACGTCTATGTGGGTCTGATCTTTAGCAGTACAACTAATGGCATCTTGGAGTCTTGTGGGTATGCGTAGGGGCTGTCCTTGGAGATGTTTTTAAGAAAACATTCAGAGTTAACCACTGTCCGTAATCTCTCATAGTTTTTTTTAAATTTATTTTTCCCCCCAAAACCCCAGTAGATAGTTGTATGTCATAGCTGCACATCCTTCTAGTTGCTGTATGTGGGACGCGGCCTCAGCATGGCTGGAGAAGTGGTGCGTCGGTGCGTGCCCTGGATCCAAACCCAGGCCGCCAGCAGCAAAGCGCACGCACTTAACCGCTAAGCCACGGGGCCGGCCCTCTCATAGTTTTATTTAACAGATATTTATTTAGTATTTACTTTGTACCAGGTACTGTTTCTAAGTACTTCAAAAGTACTAATTTATTTAATTTTCATAACATACCTGTGAAGTAGGTAATATTAGTATTCCCGTTTTGTAGGGAAAGAAGCCAAGGCACAGAGAGGCTAAATAGCTTGCAAAAGGTTATATAGCTAGTTTGAAGGAGAAGAGCCTTTTGCTTAAAACTCTGTTTTGAGTTTGGTGGGATAGTGGAGTCCTTTAAGCTCCATAATGGTTTTTCTTTCTATTTAAGGTTTTGAAGTACAGGAAGAAGGTTACCTGGCAAAAATCCTGATCCCTGAAGGCACAAGAGATGTCCCTCTAGGAACCCCACTTTGTATCATTGTAGAAAAGGAGGCAGATATACCAGCATTTGCTGACTATAGGCCAACTGAAGTAACTGATTTAAAACCACAAGCACCACCTACCCCAGCCCCGGTAGGTATGCTTCCAGAATTGAGGGAACGCTTATCTTACTCATCTCCAAAGTAAGGGATTAGATTAGATGATATTCTAGGTTTCTTCCAGCTCTAAGGTTCTATGAATAAGGAAGGAGATAGTCAGTTAATATTTGTGGAGACCTACACGATGTGTGGCACTGCAGCGTTCACCTAGTGGTCAACGGTTTGGTCCTCGTAGCTTTTGTTTTTTTTTTCCTGCTGTCTTGAGTCCTGCTGAGAACAAAGCTGAGGTGACATGGTCTTTTTCTGCGTCAGGTGTAGCTATGCAAATGGAAGGCAATGTTTTGTTCCCCATCTTCTGTAGAGTTTACTATATAATCTTTGTCACTGTCAATCCTCTTGGTATTCACATATTATAGTAGGTCATGCTTATATTTGTAATACATTGGAACCTTGACATAACATGGCTTATTTTGCATAGGATTCAGTCTGTCACTATATGCTATACACTATATGCTATATCCCTATGACATGAACTTGCACAAACTCTAAGCATCAATAACACTATAATGAGGCTTCTGCAGATGGTAGAATCATGTGAGTTGAGATTAGGCACACATTTAAGTCAGAGAAGACTTGATTTCTGACAGCCATACATTCACAGGGAGCTGGCAAGTAGTAGTGTTGGTTTATTTCTTCAAGTTCTTTCACCATGGAACCTTCCAGCGTAATTTAGTATTCTGAAATTAGGTTAAGGCAAAACAAAAACCACTTTGGTGATATAAGAGAATGAGAATAAAGAAGCAGCAAGTAAAGTGAAGAAAGGCTCTAAAGATATTATATACTAGTGAGCAGTATTAAATTCCACGCCTTTCCATGTTATGGAGTAAGACAATTTGACTTTGTTCTGTCTTTGACATAAAGTATTGTTGTTACTATTCATATTGCTGTATTATGTTGGGTAGGCAGGAAAAATGTGCATTATGATCTTTGGAAAATAATGTAAGTTATTTAATTAAAATACCTTTGACATCTTAATAAAATGTAAACTCTTGATCTTTCAGGTCATTCTTTGCAGTGGTGAATTAACAATTTGTAACTTTTTTCAAAAGGTGGTTCCTGTTCCTCCAAGTCCCCAACCTGTAGCCCCTACACCTTCAGCCACCCGCCCAGCTACTCCTGCTGGACCAAAGGGAAGGTTGTTTGTTAGTCCTCTTGCAAAGAAATTGGCAGCGGAGAAAGGGATTGACCTTACACAAGTGAAAGGTAAGTCTCTTTCTGTGGAATGGGGTTGTAAAGCTAAAATTCAGTTGTTTCCTCCTTAAGACCAGCAAGTACAACTATATATAGTTGTCTTATCTGGGATAGTGGGGAGAAGGACGAGGAGGGAAATACCTCCTTTTTGCCACCGCAGAGTAGGGAAACTTATTTTGCTGTATTTAGTCTGTCTAGAATCTACCTATATAATTTAGATAGCTTTTTTAATTCTCTTCATGGGAACTGCTTAATTGTTGGTGAAAGTATAATGTGCTAGTTTAGCAAAGCTGGGTTATTGAACTTGGTTTGTAATAAGAAATCTCTGTTAGTGCTAGGCTGACTGAATGTAGCAATATGCAAAATAAAACGTGAAGTTGGGGTGATTTGAAATGACTTAAAAGTAATAAAATTGGGCCGGCCCCGTGGCTTGGTGGTTAAGTGCGCGCGCTCCGATGCTGCTGGCCCAGGTTCGGATCCCGGGTGTGCACCGAGGCACCACTTCTCCGTCCATCCTGAGGCCGAGTCCCACATACAGCAACTAGAAGGATATGCAGCTATGACATACAACTATCTACTGGGGCTTTGGGGGGAAAAAATAAATAAATAAAATCTTTAAAAAAAAAAAAAGTAATAAAATTAATATAAAACTGAACTAAAGCTCCTTGAGGGCAAAGGAAAATGTCTTACTCATCTTTTTCTCCCCGAAGAGGAAGTATAGCTTAGTGATAAGATCATGGGGTCTTGAATCAGATCATCTAGGGTTTAATCCTGGCTTTATTGTTTTCTGTGTAATATGTCTTTAGGTGAATTACTTGTATATGTCTTTTCTTAGTCTATCTGTTTTTCCATCTGTAAAACTGAGATAATAGTGTACATTAAAACAGGCAAAGTGCTTGAAACCATATCTAGAATATAATATTCAATACATATTAGTTTTGTTCATATTATTATTATTGCCTGGCATTTAAATACATGTTTTTGAACTAAAATTAAGCTAAAATTAATGTAAGATAATTAAGATACTTATTTGGAAAAGGAAGGAAATTAATATTCCTGGAACATTGTTTGGTGGCTAGTACTATGTGCTAGTCAGTTAATTACCACATTTAATATGCATAATGTTTCCTGAAGTAAGAATTAGCATTCCCTATTTTGGTTAAGAAAATAGACTCTTAAGGGATTTCTCTTTCTGTTAAGTGGTAAAGTTGCAATTTGAATCTAAATTTGTTTAATTCTAAAGCCTGTATTCTTTTCATTACCCTGTGCTCCCTTCTGTCTTGATGCTCTGCCCTCCTTAATTACTCAAGAAAATAATGGTTATTTCCCCGATCGTCCAGCTATGGGCACTCAGTGCTGGTTATAATTTGTCTGCAATCTATTGTTTTGTGGTTAGAAGGCAAGCCAATCCCCAAAGACACAAGAATAGAATGTTGTAAATTTTTTGGACTTCAGAGGAGTCTTGTAATATTAGAAGATCCTTTTTTCCAACTTAATGTTATTTCACTAGTATATTGCCATTCTTTATGTTTATGTGATTAGAATCAGGGACAGCAAAGTAAGTTGGAATAAATTTTAATTAGAGGAGCGACTGGGTTAATAATTATATCTGAAGAATTTAGACAAGTGAAGAAGGACCATTTATTACGTATTTAGCAACACTGGCTACCTTACTAAAGATATAAGTGGAAAAATCCCAATATTCTTTTCATGCAGTTAGAGTTAGGTGATTCATTTATTATTATTTAAACAAATATTCATTGAATATTGTCTGTGCATCCAACACTTGTTCATAAGACAGACAAGATTTCATTTTCAGATACTTACATTACTAACAATAAAGAATTAAGTGAACAGAAAGGGAGTACAGTATAGTAGTTAAGAGTATGGGCTCCAGGGGCTGGCCCCGTGCCGTAGCGGTTAAGTGCACACGCTCTACTGCTAGTGGCCTGGGTTCGGATCCCGGGCGCGCACCGATGCACCGCTTGTCAGGCCATGCTGTGGCGATGTCCCATATAAGGTAGAGGAAGATGGGCACGGATGTTAGCCCAGGGCCAGTCTTCCTCAGCAAAAAGAGGAGGATTGACATGGATGTTAGCTCAGGGCTGATCTTCCTCACAAAAAAAAAAAAAAGAGTCTGGGCTCTGGAGGTAGAATGCTTGGGTTTGAACTGGCTCTGCTATACACTAGCTGTGTGACCCTTTGTGTCTTGGTTTCTTCATTTGTATATAAAAATAGTACCTTATATGCTGTGAGGGTTAAATAAGTTAATAAACAGTGCCTGCACATAGAAAGCGTATAAAGATATTAGGACTAATGATAAGAATAACTTACTAATATTACATAAGATAATTTGAATACTAAGAAACAAATAAACCGATTGATATACTAGGGGGTGACAGGGTAAATATATGTGCAGGCATGACTGCTTTTAGACAGAGTGATTGGGGAAGATCTTTCTGATGAGGTGACATTTATCAGACCTGAAACATGAGAAGGGGTCAGCTGTGAGCTAACCATGTGAAGAACTAGGAGAATAGCATTTTGGGCAGAGAGACCAGTAGTACACAGTCTGAAGTGGAAAAGAGCTTGGCATGTTTAAGGAACATAAAGCTGGCCAGTGTTAATGGAGCATAGTGAGCAGAGTCTAGTGGTAGGAGATGATGTTGGAAAGAAACACAGGAGTGAGAACATAAAGGACTTTACAGGTCATGGCAGAATTTGAATTTTTTTAAAAGTACAATAGGAAGCCATTGAAAGATTAAAACAAGGAAGTGACAAAATGATTTATATTTTAAAAAAATCATGTTGGCCGCTCTGAGCAAATGGATTAAATGAAAGCCAAGGCACCTGTTAGGATGCTGTTGCTTGAGGTGATGATGGTGGCTTAGACAAGGGTGGTGAGAGTGGAAATGGAAAAAAAATGGACAGCTTCAAGATACATTTTTGACATAGAATCAATAGAACTTAGTCAAGGATTGGATATGGGGACTTGACAACGGTAATTTCAAAAGAAAAGTGCGGTGGAAGCCAGTCTGAATAGCTTGAAAAGCATATGAAGAAGTGGAGATAGCATTGTGGACAGCTCATTCAAAAAGCTTTGCTATGAAGTAAGGCATAGAAATAGAGCTGTAGCTTTGAGAAGATATGGGCTCAAGAGAGGGCTTTTGAAAATGAGTGATAGTAGAATGGGTCTGGTATAGAGTTTCTCAGCTATGGCACTATTGACATTTTTGACCAGGTAATTCTTTGTTGTGGGGGAGTGCCCTGCCCACTGTAGGATGTTTAGCAACATCCTTGGCTTCTGCCCACTACATGGTAGTAGCATCCCCCACTTGTGACGACCAAAAGTATCTTCAGACATTGCCAGATGTCCCCTGGGGGGCAAAACTGCCCTGGTTGAGAACCAGTGGTCTAATAGAAAAGGATAAGTTGATGGTGCAGAAAGCGCCGAGTAATTTGGCAAGGAGCAAAGTTTTTGAGAATGTAAGTGTTGATGGGATTGGCCTTGATAGGAATTAGGGACATTTTGTCTATTTTTATAGGAGAGAAGAGACTGTGGAGTGATTTTATAGGTTTGGTGGTGGAAGATGAGGAGAGTACCTCTCTGGTTGCTGCTATTTGGTCAATAAAGTATAAAGTGAGGATGTCAGCTGGAGAATGAGTATGGGGAGGTTTGAGGTTAGAGAGACTGTGGAGTAGTGTTCTCAGAGATTGGGAATATGAATTCAAGGGAAACATAGTTTAATTTCTGGGTAGTTTTATGTGTCTATTTTAGGTTTGTGGCTCTGAATTTATAGTAAAGTCAGTCAGTTAGATGTGTACTTTTTTCTCCCAGCAACATTAAGCTGGCATTGAGAAGGCAGACGTTTTAGAGTTTGACCAGGGAGTGATTATAACAGTGATGCACAGAGTCTAAGCTGAGTAAGGAAGTGAAGACAAGAGGGAGATAATGGATGATGACAGCAGAGGAGTCAGTGCAGTGGAGGTCTTCATGAGGTCGAAGAAGTTTTGCAGTGGGGGAGGGAGTGGTCTAGATTAAGTGAGCTGAGAGGATCACTGATTGTGTGGTGTTTTGTGACACCAAACGTATGTTTTTTCCACACCAACAATCAGTGGTCCGACACCAACTGGGTATCCAACAATTCAATCCTATTCTGACACTAACTATCCAGAGTTAGCAGCAGACGCCACAGGTTTAAGGGCTCAGTCCCACCTGACTGCCCCCACCTCAGATGTCAATTGCAAGTCCTGGGACCACCCTTACTTCTGACCCACTGGCTATAAATCAGGAGTTCCCAAGACGCCCTTCTCAGATTTTATAATTCACTGGAACGACTCACAGAACTCAGGAAGGCACTTTGCTTACTATTACTGGTTTATTATAAAGGATACAACTCAGGAACAGTCAAATAGAAGAGATGCATAGGACAAGGTATGGGGTTGTGGTAGGGGCGTGAGTGCAGAGCTTCCACACTCTCTCTGGTAGCACCACCCTCCCAGCACATTGACATGCTCACCAACCCAGAAGCTCTCCAAATCTTGTTGTTCAAGACTTTTATTTTTATAGGGGTTTCAGTGAGACGGCATGGTTGATTAAATCATTGGCTATTGATTGTTGAAGTCAAACTCCAGTCCCTCTTCCCTCCCTGGAGGGACAGATTACTTAGGAAATTTAACCAAAATGTAACCATTTGGGGAGAAACTGTTTTAAAGCCTAAACTCTGGTGTTCGGAGTTTGATTTGTCTCAAAGCTACCCATATTATGTTCTATATTTCTTTGATGCAAAGCACTTTCACGTCACTATCCCATTTTATCCTCATAACATTCCTGTGAGCAGGGGCTAGTATTATAATCTGTATCCTACATTTGAGACCAGATGAGATTAAGTGACTGCAGTCATCCATCTAGTTTATGTTTGACAACAACCCTACATTTTTTATTCCAAGTCTAGTGTTCTTCCCCTTATACCTTTATGATGGCCTGTTGTGCCTTCTTAGGGAGATGGGCAAAAGGATTTAAAAGATTTCAACTAACTCCTAATAGGAAATTCTTGTGGGTGGTTGAAGCTTAGCATAAGGCAGGTGGTACTGCAGGTTCCTCCTCTTGAGGGGCTACAGTGTCCAGATCAGGCTTGGTTGTAAGGGGAGGTTATGGTTTCTGTCTTTTTATAAAGGAGGAGAATCTAATAGGGGTACCGCTACCTCTGTTCTAGAGCTCCTGGTGAGGATAAACACAGTCCTAGCCAACTCAGTTTTCATAATGAAGGAAAGGAGTTGGGATGAACTGCACACAACGAGAATCCTTTTAAAAGTCTGCCTTGGGGAAGATGAATCAGTTTGACCAAATTTTTTCTAGAAGTGGGCCAGTGTAAAAGGTATTTTAATAACTAAATTCTGAATCTCCTGAGAATTAAGATTTAGGATTATCTACTTGGGTGTAAAGTTGTGGATGGGAGGAGGAAGGAAATTGAATGAAAATAAAATTAAGCCCATTGAAAGAACTTTGAAAATCTTTCCTCATGTGTGACATTGCACCTGTTTCCTACATAGGCTCTAACACAGGCCACTGTGGAGCCTTGGCTCTTGTGAGAAAGCTGTGAATGATGGAGATCTCATAAGGAATGAATGATTCTAAAGATGAGATCATTGCAATTGAGAGTTATTCGTGTTATTTGGGGGTAAAAAAATTGACTTGCCTGATTTGTCCAAAACAATGATCATATCTGTTGACTCTGTACAAAGGGAATTCTTTATGATCATATGAATCTAGAACCCAGATGAGACCTATTTCAGGGTTCAGAAAGGGTTTTGGAGCTAACCAGGAGGAGGTAGCTAATCTTCCTTTTGGAGGTATAAATTGTACTCAGCATTATCCTTTTGCTGGTATTTCCCAATTTAAAAGTAAAGAAGATGAAAAAATAAAGTACAGTTTAATTAGGTAAAATTCTAAAAGAGAAATACTTAAAATAAATGAATACTTGATATAGTTAAAAAGGAAAAAAACACTACAGGTCAAGCAAGAGCGCTCTGTGTGAATTAAGATTAATAAGTGACAAAAGCTGGTATTTTTAGGGAGCACTTTAAGGGGCAGGATTAAGACAGTGATTCCCTCAGAGGGTCTTTGGTAGAGAACCCTTAGGAACTTGCATTTCAGGATCACAGTATTGATTTCCTTGAGGAACCAGCAGCACGTTCTCATGTATGTGACATTTATGTATCTCTTCCAGGGACAGGACCAGAAGGCAGAATCATCAAGAAGGACATCGACTCTTTTGTGCCTACTAAAGCTGCTCCTGTGAGTTACATTTGGCCTTTTTTTTTTTTGTTTTCAATTTGTCCCTGCAAAGTGCTTTGTCCAGCCTGTTAGACCCTTTCATACATTATTCGTGAGTGAAATAGCTGAACCAGAACTGTGTATTCTTTTGTCTAATTTCACTGGCTAGCAATATATAGATATGAATGTGCTGTCATTCATATACAAAAGCAAAGATGATATACTACATTGATATGCATTCCAAACTGGTTTTTTTGAGTTATTGATACTAAGTTTTTCCTAACACCTCCTCTCCTTCTCATTTAGGCCCTATTTTTAAAAGCTTGCAAGTTGATTGACCAGGGTTTGAGTTTTATGTGATTAATTAGTCCACACAGAGATTAAATCCACGTAGCTAGCTTCTGTTTGATTGGTTAAAGTGCTAAGATAATCAGCTAAAAGTAAGGAAAAGGATTTTGTTATTTAGATGTTTGCTTTAAAATGAAAGATTTGTCTCATTGTTTTTTCTTAACACTGTACAGGAAGATGAATTACTTTGTTTATATTTATCTCTTAATCCTTTCAATTTAAGAATGCTTTGATTGCTTTTCTTGAAGATAATTTTGCAAAAACAAAATTATTTTGACATAAACTAGTCACTGAACATACTCTGGCTCAGAGAAAAATGATACTTAAAACGTGATTACAGAATTCTAAGTAGAAAAATTAAAAACAAAACTCTAAACAAGCACTGTCCAAATCTGAGTTCTTTTTGTTCCCTTGGGATAGAAATAGCTGAATTTTTCTATAAGCCTTTTAATTTTTACTTTGCCTGTAAAGTAAAAGACACACCAGCAGTTGTTCCCAGTTGCTTTTGCTAAGATTGAACCACAGTTACTAAGAGCTTTTTTACCTCCCCATAGGCTCCAGCAGCTGCTGTGCCTCCCCCCGCTCCAGGAGTGGCACCAGTTCCTACAGGTGTCTTCACAGATATCCCAATCAGCAACATTCGTCGAGTAAGACTGTTACCATAAATCTGGAACCAAAGCTCTTGGGGGCATCTTTACTCTGATCATTTAATTGCCTACATAGTTTGAAATACTAACAGAGACTGTTTTAGTTGGGAATCTTAGATGATTAGTTTAAGAGATGTTTGCTTTGGCTGGTTGAATACTTGGGATAAACAAACGCTGTGTTCTGATTAAGTACCATTGGAAGGGGCTAAGTTATGGTGCAGTCCTTCATCTTCCAGTTCTAGTAATGCTTGAGGTGAGCATTACCAGGGAGCAAGGTAAAGGGGAAAACAGCCCTGAATTAGGTAAGGTCTTATCTCAACTCAAGATAATGGATTTTTTAATCTCTTTGATTTCAGGTTATTGCACAGCGGTTAATGCAGTCTAAGCAAACCATACCTCATTATTACCTTTCTATTGATGTAAATATGGGAGAAGTTTTGTTGGTACGGAAAGAACTTAATAAGGTAAAAGGTCTGGAAATTTCAACTCTATAAATTCTAAAAATCATGTTTTTCCCCACTAAACATTTACATTTTTGCCCATATTTTTGTTACAATATGCCAGTTGATGATGGAAAATGGGTGTCATCTTAATTAACTTGTAGAGAATATCCTGGAGAATTTTCATTTTTTAACCCTTGATTAAAGCTTATCATTTAAAGTTAACTTTGCCATTTTAGCCTAGCAGAGTCACTGTAATTCTCTGAGACTATTTGAGACTCTTTTGGTAGGTAAGAAACAGTATGTTTACTTTGTGCTTATAGTTAAGTACTTAGCACCTACTTAGTGTTTAGCTTAAGGCACTTTTAGGAACATAGCATAAGGCATTGTCTTTGTCCATGAGTTTATAATTTAATTGAGGAGATAATGCATGTGAAAGAGAGAGGAGGTAATTTTTATTAAAGTAAAAATAGTCATTTGTAGATCAGTCTCTTTATGGTAATGCCCCTTGTCTGCTAAATTACATTGTGTGGGTTAAGTGTTATAGGAGTTCAGAGAAGGGGGAGAACAGTGAAAGTAGTTGGGGAATTCACAATGGTGTAGGAAAAACTTGGTTGACCCATGGAGAATAGGAAGAGTTTGGATTGGCAAAAAAGTTGAAAGTTGATTCTAGTGATGAAATATCACAAAGTGAAAGTGCTTTAAAAAAAAGGATATAAGTATAGTCAGCCCTGTGGTTCAAGCAACTGTAGAACCTGCAGATACGGAGGGCCAACTAAGTGACTTGAGCATCTGGATTTTGGTATCTATGGGGTGGTCCTGGAACCAGTCTCCCTGGATACCAAGAGATGACTGTATAGCATATGGGGGAGATAGATTACCTTTTCTAGAGTGGATACACAGTTGTTGGTTTAGGGAAGACCTTGATTTACAAGCAGAAGAATTTGGACTTGATGAATTAGACATTAAGTAAGAAACCAGTAGAAGTGAGATGATGATAGCAATATTTTAAGAAAGATTAGTCTAATAGATATATACTGGCACACTTTAATGGCAGAGACTAGTTATGCTTGTCATGTAATCATGAAATGATGGTGATAAGGGTGTGGATTTGTGGGTTGCATTAAGAATGGAGTAGGAGCGAGGGATATGAGAGATATTTTTAAGGAAGTGAAAAATAAAAGCCAAACTCCTTCGAGTGGCATACATGGCCTTACACAGGTTATCTATAACCTCTCTGACCTCCTCTCCTACTACTTTCCCACTTGCTCACTCTGCTGCAGACACAATGGTTGCTTTGCAGTTCCTCAACACTCACCTGTATACTCCTACTTTAGTCCCTTTGCACTTGCTGTTCCCTCTGCATGGAATACTTTTCCTCTAGTATCCTCCTGGCTTCCTCCTTCACCTCCTTAAGGATTTGACTCTATCACCTTTTCTGGTCTTCCCTGGTCACCTCATGCTAAAATTAAGGAAGAGGAGTGGAGTGAGTGGTGGGTTCTCCCCTTAGCTCTTTTTCTCTACTTTATTTTTCAGCTTAGCAGGTAACACTATCTAACATACTGTGTGTTTCACTTATTTATTATCTATCCATCCCCTTTAGACTGTAAGCTCCCTGAGAGTAGAATTTTTACCCATTTTTTCACTGCTTTATATCCAGGGCTTTAGAGTTATATGCCCAGCACGGAGTAGACTCTCAAATATTACATGCATGAGTGAATGAAGCATCAACAGAGCTTTGTAACTGGCTACAGGATTAAAGATGATGGTATACTTTTATTGTCAAAATATTAAAGCTATTTTATAATAAATTTATTTGGAAATTAGGCATGAAAAGTATATATCCAATGTGTTATTTTATTCAGTTATTTTTTTTTTTTAAGATTTTATTTATTCTTTTTCCCCCCAAAGCCCCAGTAGATAGTTGTATGTCATAGTTGCACATCCTTCTAGTTGCTGTATGTGGGACGCGGCCTCAGCACGGCTGGAGAAGTGGTGCATCAGTGCGAGCCCAGGATCCGAACCCGGGCCGCCAGCAGCAGAGCGTGAGCACTTAACCACTAATCCACAGGGCCGGCCCTATTCAGTTATTTAAAACAGTTTTATTCAGATGTAATTCACATACCATGCCATTCACTCATTTAAAGTTTACAGTTCAGTGGCTTTCAGTATATTCAGAGTTGTGTGACCATCACTACAATAAATTTTAGAAAATTTTCATCACCCCAAAATGAAACCATGCACCCCTTAGCCATAACCCCTGCCCCAGTCCTGCCATCCTCCCCAGCCCTAGACAACCACTAAACTACTTTCTGTCTTATACCCTATTCTGGATATTTCCTGTAGGGTTAGGGATTTCATTGAATCTATAGATGAGTTTGGGGAGTATTGCCATCTTAACAATATTAAGTGTTCCCACTCCATGAACGTGGAATGTCTTCCCATTTATTTAGGTCGTCTTTAATTTCTTTTCAACAATTTTTATAATTTTTAGAGTATTAAGTGTTTGCTCTTTTGTTAAATTTATTGCTAGGTATTTTATTCTTTTTGATACTATTGTAAATTTCACTTTCAGATTGTTCAGTGCTGTTGTATAGAAATACAGTTGATTTCTGTATATTGATCTTATATCCTGCAACCTTGATTTTTAGTGTGTTCCTTAGGATTTTCTATATACAAATCATGTCACCTGCAAAGAGAGATAGTTTTGCCTTTTCCTTTACAGTTTGGATGCATTTTATTTCCTTTTCTTGCCTAACTTCTCTGGCTAGCATATCTAGTACAGTGTTGAATAGAAGCGGGAAGAGTGGAAATCTTTGTCATGTTCTTAGGGGGAAATAAGTTTTTCATCAATGAAGTGTGATTATCATCTTGGAGTTTTTGTTTATCTATTTTATCAGGTTGAGAAAGTTCCCTCCTATTCCTAATTTGTTGAGTGTTAGCATCATAAGGGGTGTTAAATTTTGTCAACTATGCTTTTTCCTAGATGTTAAACCAAGCTTGCATTCCTGGGACAAATCGTTTTTGGTCATGGTGAATAATCCTTTTCATATATTGGTGGATTTGGTTTGCTAGAATTTTTTTGAGGATTTTATATCTATATTCATAAGAGATACTAGTCTGTAGTTTTTAAAAAAATTTTTCTTTTTTTTTTTTTT